TGCCCACAGAGCCCCCCACCCCCAACAGCATATGTAGGAAATCTACCCTTTAATACGGTTCAGGGCGACATAGATGCTATCTTTAAGGATCTCAGCATAAGGAATGTACTACGGCTAGTCAGAGACAAAGACACAGAGAAATTTAAAGGATTCTGCTATGTAGAATTTGATGAGGTGGATTCCCTTAAGGAAGCTTTGACTTATGATGGTGCACTCTTGGGTGATAGGTCACTTCATGTGGACATTGCAGAAGGCAGAAAACAGGGTAAAGATGGCTTTGGATTCAGGAAAGGTGGACCAGATGACAGAGGAGTGGGTGGCTCTCGAGAATCTAGAGGTGGATGGGATTCCCGGGATGACTTCAATTCCAGCTTCAGGGAGGAAGTCGCCCAGGTGACCGGCGAACCGGTCCCCCAGTGGGGAGTCGTTTCAGAGATGGTCCTCCCCTTCGAGGGTCCAACATGGATTTCAGAGAACCAGCAGAAGAGGAAAGAGCACAGAGACCATGGCTCCAGCTTAAACCTCGGACAGTTGCAACACCCCTCAATCAAGTAGCCAACCCCAACTCTGCTATCTCCGGGGGAGCCAGACCCAGAGAGGAAGTCTTTCACAAGGAGCAAGAATGAACTTTTGGGTGGGAGGGAATGGGTGTGGGGGAGCCTGAGCAAGAGCACAGCTGGCCAGCCCCAGACTGGCAGCCCTGCAGTTACCATTCCTGTGCCTGACCTTTGCCCTCCTTTCTTACAAAGGAAACACAGCTTGTGAGTGCATGTTAGCAGTTAAGTGGTTTTTAGTACATCCTTGGCTTTGCTGTATCTAGCCAGTGCCTGTTTTGTGCTTTTTCTTTTTTTTTTTCTGCCACTCCTTTGCCATTATCCTCCCCCTGTCTTTTCTCCTTGCTTCCTTCTAGCACATCAGTTTCTTTAGAGGGACAGGCAGCCACCACGTGGAATTGTTTGGATTGAGGTGTGTTCTCATCTTTTCTCCTTTGCTTTGTCCTTTTACTTCAGGCACACTGGCCAGATCCCAGTTGCTTCCTTTGGTTTTCTCAGTGCTTCTCCTGACCGCATGTCGAGTTCTGTATTGCTGTGGCTTCCTGGAGAACAGAAAAGTCACAACTTGGAATAGTGTCTTGATTTTATCGGCTGTAGTCAACATACAGAATCAAGGCACCTTGTTTTCAGAATAAGGGTGAAATAATCTATCGACCCTTGAAAATTCCTTGCTATCTCTATTTATAGGTAGTCCTGTCTCCATTGCCTCCTTCCCGAATGGATTGTTGAAGCAGAGTAGGCCAAACTGATGCGAATAATGTGAAATGTTGGGGGGTTCACCTAGAAGGAAATTGAGTGTGTCGTGATGTTCATAGGTTTCATCGCTGCCCCTTGAACATTGTCTGGCACCGCTGCATCGCGGGTGCCGACATCTGGCTGCCGGGCATAGCGAGCCTCCAGCGAGGCAGCTTCCACTGGGCAGTGGTGCTGCGGGGACTGAGGGTGCTGGTGGGAGGGCTGTGCTGGGTGTGTGGTGCACACGTCGCTTTTCGCAGATCCCTGTTGTCTGTATCCTGCAGCCCCCCTGTGTTTCTTCCCTGGTGTAAGTAACATGAGATATTAAGCTTCCCACCATCCCTCAATTTTATGGTGCAAATGAGCCTAGAATTTGGCTTTTTCCTCTTTTCCTTGATGAACTGAATTTTTTACTATGCAGTAAGTTACTGGATCTCAACTTAGGGACATTTTATTCTGTGTTGTGTTCAGCTCTACCTGGGGCTAGGCGTCTGGGCATTAGCTTTTGAGCTTGAATACGTGTGTGAACAAATCAAAAATTCTTTAGCATCCAAGTCCCAGTCTATCCCATTGGGAGTACTTGGGGTCAGCGAGCTGCTTTAGTCCCTGAGGAGAGAAGCCCTCCCCAGCATGACTGGAGGGCTGCGGTAACCCAGCCTGAGCCAGCGTGTGCTCAGATAGCAGGTAATGCTCCGGCTCCCTGGCTTCTCTTCTTTGTCTTTGTTACAAGGCCTCGGCAATTCACAGAACTCTCCCTCTGTCCCTTCCTTCCACCTGTCATCTCTGCTTCTGAAATAAGAACCATTTGTATACTGCCAATACTTAACTTAAGAAAGACATGCATTATGTGGTTGTAATCAAACCTGATACTTTCAGATGACCTACTTACATCTTCAATGTGGGAAAGATAAAGAACAAAACAAATTCATCTAAACTTCTGGGCAATCCAGTTAACTTTTAAATGTAAGAATGAAATTCCAAACACTTAACACATTCAGCTATATGACAGAAAGTAAATCTATGGATATGGTATTTTGTGAATGATCTTTTAAATAAAAGAAAATCTTATGTAAAAAAAAAAAACTTTACATCGATTTAAATGACTTATGTTTTCTCTATTATCTAATTACAAGTATCTGAAGGTATTGTCTCTTTTCTCAGTATGCTTTAGTGACTAAGTAGATTGAACAAATCAAATATAAAAAAAGATACAATAGAAATTATTTGAATATTTCTGTTCTCATATATCCTTTTATTTCTTCAGTAGATAAGTTTTAATTAAAGAACTAACTGGAAGACTTTTAGGACTAAACAATCTTACCTATTAATGTAAAAAAAGTCATGTTGTCACAGCATCAACAGAAAATATAATAAAAGAAATATTATTTATAAAAAGCCACAACTTGTTCTGATTTTCAGATTCTTACATCCCTTGCATTTTGACAAAATATTCATTAAAATTATTTATTTTGATAATTTAAGTGAGCTTTAGAGAGCTAATTCACTCTTCATTATATAGTCAAATGAACCTTATCAAATTTCTGCCTCATTTTCAATCATTACTTTGCAAAACAACAAAAAACATATGATAGCATAATAAATATTTAACCATTTCAATAAAATCAAGAATTTTTTACTTAATATTTCATTCTGGACTTGTTTAATTCATTCATTTTTTTTAACCACTGTGCTCTTACTGATATTTTTATAGTAATTTAAAAATATTCACTTACATATAAAGGCTTTTACCTACATATAAAGGCTATGATTTATATCCTCTCTGAACAATCATAAATTTATCTCCAATTTTACATTTCTCATTTTGTAGAGTAATATTTTTAATTATACTCTCAAACCAAATGTGAGTAATTAGAATGTGTTTTATCCTTTAAAGACCTTTCTCCTAGTAAAAAAATTGAATTGTTATATAGTGATTCCACCCACCTAGGAATTAATGAAACAGTTCCAGAATCAGCAGTCTCATTTAGCTACAGATACTAACGATAACATAACCATTGAAATTTCCAAGTGGGTCTCCAATTGTAAACTTTACCTCTGTTATCTTTTTAATTAATCATTGAACTATCCTGCTATAATTTACTATGACATATTGTCTGTGTCTTTTCTCATATTCACTACAGTTTCTATTTTTCAGTTTCTATTTTCCCCACTTAATTTGTAGTTCCTGTGTTAAATACCACTTTGGCATGTAGCTGCCTTTTGTGTGTGTGAGGAAATCCATACTAATATGCCTGTCACATAGCACTTGGTCAATAAGCATTTGTTGAACAAATTAATTATTGGAAGAAGGCATCATTATTGTTACAATGTAGAGCTGAGGCTAACCAGGCTTCAACAACTTGTCTATCCTCACATGGTTAATAGGTAGGAAAATGGCCGGTCATGTGCTCATATTTATCTCTATACAACCCAGCTGAATTTCATTCAAAAGCCCTTAGTGTTACTATCCTGTTAGCAGATGTAGATTTAAACATCCTTCTTAACTAATGACTTACCTTTCTCATAATTATCTAGTCAATGACCTAATTCTTCCTCTTTTTTAGTGATCTTTTCACCTTCATTTTTGTTTTTATGTTCATTTATCCAGTGGCTCCTTTATCTTCATAGTCAAGTAACTGATTTGTTTTTGGTATTTTTTTTTTCCTTCTAATTTTATAGCTAAACAAAATATTAGTTTTAAGTGACTAAAATACCCTCATTTTTATTTTATAACAATTTTTGGCACAAAATATCATCACAGACTTTCCAACTTGTGTTTTATCTCTGCCTAATGATTTTCCTGGAATGTGATGAGGGGTAGGGCTTGAGGAGACACAACTATAATAACATTATCTCCGAATTTATACAGAAAAGACCTGTTTTTGTCAATTTTATAAAGTGATTCACCCTTTATTCATTTGAAGAAGGGATTCTAACACTGTCATTAACAGTAGTGATCCCTGTGGTGGTGTTGTGTAATGCTATTATAATGATCCTGACTGATCAGGAAGTGGATTTAATGGAAATGGAGTGACTTACACTAAAACTTGAAATGAACGCTACTGCTTCTTTATGAGGGCTGTTGCTCAACAAATGAGGCAAGCACAGGTAGAAGCCTAAGTGTGCTAGGAAACTATTGCCAAGTAAATCAACAGGTGACCTCAATAATAGACCTCTGGTGCAATGTAAATATAAGGGCTGAAATAAATCGATCTGCCATGCCAGTGGAGTCTCTGAAACCTTTTCCAGGTTTGGCATCTGCCACCAGCCTCTCTGTCCAGAGGAGCAGCATTCCCATCCCACCCCCACACACATTTCCCAAATCCCCCACAATCTCACAAAGTAAAGAGAGGTCTCCTGAACATCATCTTAGTGGTTTGTAACTCACCTCCAACCCTTTTACTGCCAATTGAATTGTATGCTTATATTATTGCAATGTAGATTTCCCCTAATAAGTTATATTGTATTTACATCCTATCAGCCTAAGTCATACGTAAAGCATTTTCACTCAGGTGGAAG